GGGGAAAGAGAGAAATGAAGGAAGGAGGGAGGGAGAGAAAAAGAGGGAAGGAAGGAAGGAGAAAGAGGGACAGGGAGGGAAATGGGGGAACGAGGCAGGGAGAGCGGGGAAGAAAGAGATGAAGGAAGGAGGGAGAGGAGAGAGGGTGAAGAAAGGAGGAGGAAGGGAAGGAGAGATGGAGGGAGACAGAGCGGGGAAGGAGGCAGGGAGAGAGGGGGCAGAAAGAGAGAGATGAATGAGGGGGGAGGGAGACAGAGGGGGAGAGAAAGAGACTGAGAATACACTATAGCAGGTGTCCAACCTTGGCCACTATAAGACCTGTGGACACACACACACACACACACCAGTGCAGACCTTACCTGGGCCAAGGTAGCGTCAGCACAGGCTTTCCTAGCATCCTGTAACGAAGAAGAAAAGAACGTGTGAATGCTTGCAGGGGAGAAACGGTCAAACAAACGAAAGAAACCACAACACACTTCCGGCTTCTGCTTTAAAACGACCGTTCGCCGTCCCGGGGCTGCATCCCGGTGGAGAAAGGGCGTAAATACCTCGGAGGCGGGAAGCCCTTCTCTATGTATCAGAGGCTTATAATCTGCTAAGAATTTAGGAAGCCTATTAGAGCCAGCCTCTCCCTCGATCCAATGGCAAAAAAAGGGGGGATTAGGAGGAAGGCAGGGGACGGGTACGAAAGGTTTCAGACAAGCTAAGCCGGATAATCCCTTTATGAAACCCCCTTTCCGCTGGGCATCGCAAGCGGCAACCATTCTGCCCAGTGCCCACGTTGGTCTAAATGTTAAACAGCTACTTTCCATTTTATCTCGTTTACTCATGGCTAGGAGGGAATTCCATCATAGATTTCAATCTGGCGGGGAGGGATTTAAATATGATATTCTGCTGCTCGGCTGGCTCAAAGATTAGCATTTTAAGGCAATCTCGTCTCGTCGATAATGAAGTTAGGTTCCCTTGCCCTAATACAGAGCAATAGTTTCAATACTGGCCAGGAGTCCCTTTAAGAACAGTCGTCTCCCAACACCTGAGGCATTTTAAGATGTGTGGACAACTCCCAGAATGCCCCAGCCAGCATGGGGGTTGGAGTCCACACATCTTAAAATGCCTCAGGTATTGGGGGAAACACTGTTTTGAGAAACGGGAGATCTGAGATCCAGAAAGAATTTCCCCAAAAGCTTCTGCTGGATTTTGATCTGCAAATAGAGTAGAGTAGAGTAGAGTAGAGTAGAGTAGAGTAGAGTAGAGTAGAGTAGA